AAGCAATCGTGTCCTGGGAGGTTCTGAAGATGATTAGAGACGTACAATGCTTTCTTGGTTTTGCCAACTTCTATCGCATCTTCATCAAGAATTACTCTCAAGTTGTTACTCCTCTCACTCGATTGACATGCAAGGATAAGCTGGAATGGGAACCTCTAGCGGAAAAGGCATTTCAAGACCTGAAGACCGCATTTACTACAGCTCCAATCTTGGTACATCTAGACTTTATAAAGGCCTTTTATTTAGAAACTAATGCTTCGGATTTTGCTTTGGAAGCTGTACTTTCACAAATGGGAAAAAACAAGAAGCTCCATCTAGTTGCATTCTATTCTTGAAAGTTTTGTGTTGCTGAAATCAATTATGAGATCTACGATAAGGAACTTCTTGCTATAGTAGATTCTTTCTAAGAATGGCATCACTTTCTTGAAAGAGCTGCACACCCAATGACCATATACACAGATTATAAGAATTTGGAGTATTTCATATCAACTCGAGTTCTAAATCGATGTCAAACTCGGTGGAGTATGTTGCTATCTAGGTTCGATTTTGTTATCACTTATCGACTTGAAAAGCAGCAAGGACTATCTGATGCCTTATCGAGGAGATTGTATCTTGTACCAAAGGCTGGAGAAGCAACGTTTGATCAACAATGTACGACATTACTGAAGCCAGAGCAATTTCAGCTTTGCGCTACTATTGTTCCAATTGATGCTGACTTCCTGAATCAGGTACGTGCCGTGACCATTGAAGATTTAGTAGCCATTGATATTAAGCAGCGTGCCAATGACGACAAGTTCAAGGTGGAAGGAGATCTTTTATACTTTGAAGAGCGGTTGTATATCCCAAAAGGACCAGCACAACTCCGAATTCTTCAATCTTGCCACGATTTTTTGGTTGTGGGACATTTTGGATTCAACAAGATCTTAGAGCTTATTTCTTGAGATTTTTGGTGGCCCCAAATGTGGAAGGATGTGAAAGATTTTGTCTTCTCCTGCTATATTTGTTCAAGATCCAAGAATCCTCGACATCGCCCTTATGGACTCCTACAGCTATTGCCGATTCCACATCGACCATGGTATTCAATTTCTATGGACTTCATCACGGACCTACCATCATCAAATTCATTTGACAGCATCTTTGTTGTGGTAGATCGGCTTACAAAGATGGCACACTTTGTCCCTTACAAGAAGACATCTTCCAGTGAAGTCATAACAAGGCTCTTTCTCGATAATGTGTATCGATATCATGGACTACCAGATGATATCGTATCAAATCGAGGAACCAAGTTCATATCAAAGTTTTGGAAATCTCTCTTTGAGATACTAAAGGTAGATATCAAGCTTTTTTCGGCTTTTCATCCTCAAAGTGACGGCCAAACGGAACGGGTGAACCAAGTCTTGGAACAATACTTACGATACAACATCAACTATCAGCAAGACGATTGGACCACATATCTGTTGATAGTCGAGTTTGCATATAACAACACCCTCCATGCGTCGACTCAATACACACCATTCTTTTTCAACTATGGATATCATCCGAAGCTTGATTTATTGAGTCCGTCAACAAATAACAATCCAACAGCTGAAGGATTTGTGAAACAACTATCAGAGCTTCAAAATACGTTAAAGCTTCAATTACAATCTGCTCAAGAATCCTACAAGGTGTCTATAGATAGATTTCGGAATCAAGCACCTACTTTCAAAATTGGAGATAAAACATGGCTTCTTCCATGGAATAACAAGACCAAGCGACCATGTGATAAATTGGACTATCAAAGATTGGGACCATTTATCATCCAGAAGCAAATCAATCTAGTGGCATACCATCTGGAATTATCTGCTTCTATGAAGGTACATCCAGTCTTTCATGTTTCTCTGTTGGAGCCTTATCGAGAGTCGTCTTTTTCTAGAAGAGTGCAATGTCCACCACCTAGTATTGAGATCGAGAACCACGAGGAATATAAGGTTGAAAAGGTGCTGGATTGGCGACGAAGGTGGGGCAAATTGGAGTATCTTGTTCATTGATGCGGCTATGACATTAATGAGCGAACTTGAGAGCCAACTGAAAATCTCGCCAATGCATCGCAAAAGGTACAGGAGTTTCATGAACAACATCTTCATAAACCTAAGCCGGTTCGATGATAGCTTCCTTCTGAAGCTTGTTCACCCAAGAATATAAGAAAGGGAGAGAGCACCACCAAAATTCGTAGTTGATGTAGTTATTTTTTCCAAGATAAAATAGAATTTTTTCAGTAGTCATAGTTTGGTCTTTTGATATGGATAGCCAAGACATAGATACTATGCCAATCAGATTATGTCAACCGAGTAGCTCACAAAGGCGACTCCAAGATGAAGAACCGCCTACACCACGACGATGACGGAGGATACCGAGTAACCAATCATTGGTGATTGTATTTGAGTCCGAACCTGCTTACGATGGTCAACCAGAAGGCATGTTTGCAAGACAATTTCATAATGAGGACACGGAAGTTCAAGCTTGGTCAGAAGTTGAAGGAGTAGGCTACTACCGTTGGCTTCAAGGATCGATGAACCACTTGCCTTGTGAATAACAGTTGGAGTTCATAATAGACGTTATGCGACAGATCTTCATTTTCTTGCATTGGTACTGATTAACAATAATATTGCTTCTTAGAGACCTCGAAGCTAAAAAAGGGGGTGATGTAAGGAACATAGTCCTTAGAACCTTCTAGAGACAAGTTTCTAGAACCTTCTAGAAGCAAGTCTCTGGAACCTTCTAAAAGCTTCTTAGTTGTTAGAAGATGTTAGGGACATAGTCCTTAGAACCTTCTAGAGATAAGTTTCTAGAACCTTCTAGAAACAAGTCTCTGGAACCTTCTAGAAGCTTCCTAGTTGATAGAAATTGCTTGAGAAGCTTCTTAAATAGGAGTATATATTGGAATCAAGGCTGAAGAGTTCTTTAGTCTCGAAAACACATCTCTTGGAGCTCTAGCTCACTTCTCTGGTGTTGTTCTTATATTCATCTGATTAATCTAGTTCTTGTTAGTTCTTCTTGAACTTCTTGTTAGATCTCGAGTTTGTATTTCTGTGTCCGTGACACCAAAAGGAGGTTTTTCTTCATCTTTGGCACATGTAAGACGTCCTTCAATATGACCTTCTTGGTTTGACCTTTTACAACAATCTCTATAACAATGGAGCCCATTCCAATAGCTTGTACTATGCCATTGTCTCCCATGAGGATATTTGCTGTTGAAATCTCTTCATAAGTGTCTAATGAACACTTGTATGGAGTCATGTACTTGGTGGCACCAGAATCAATGATCCACTTGGATATGGCAGCCATGGAAGTACCTTCACTTGCCATGAATGCATAATCATCACCTCCATATTCATCACGAGCATTGTTTGCACTTTCTCTATTTCCTTTCTTAGCATTGTAGCAATTTCGAGCAAAGTGACATAGTTTTTCACAAATGAAGCAAGTTCTCACATTGCCACGTTGGTTAGGATGACTCCCCTTGCCTTGCCTTGAAAAGAGAGCCAAATCCTCACTTTGGAGCTCTTTTTCTTTTCTCTTGGTGACTTCATGGGCAAGTCTTGCCGTCACATAATCTATTGTGAGTTCTTTTACTTTGATGGATTCCAATGCCAGAATGAGGTAGTTGTAGGACTCGGGAAGGCTCATAAGCAAGGTCATGATAATATCACTCTCTTCTAAAGGCTTGTCAACAATAGCAAGTTGTTGAGCAATGGCCTTTACCTTATTGACATGAGCCATGAGGACTTCACCTTCTTCCATCTTACAAGTGAAGAATTTCTTCTTTTTGAAGATGATATTGGACAAGTTCTTGCTCTCATATATGTTGCAAAGAGTCTTCCATGCTTCTGCTTATCCTTTGCAAGAGATGATGTGAGAAAAGTTGGCTTCATCCAAATTAGTGGCAATCATGCCAAAAGCCTTCTTTTCATGTCTTGTGAAGTCCTTCCTCTCTTTAGCATCAGCATGCGTGCTTAGAGGCTCTTCACTTTCATCTACAATGTCCCAAAGATCCAAAGATGCCAACAAAAGCTCCATTTTGACCTTCCAATAATAGAAATTGTCACCTCTAAACTTCTTAATTACTCTCAAACCTTCACCCTCACTTAAAGCCATGTCTTAGAAGAGGTCTATCAAAAATTATCAAGAAAAAAGAGTCTCTATGTGCTTAAAATCACTAAAACAATTTTGTACTAGCAAAATCTCAGAATCCCTCTTGTGAACAAATGAATGTTTCTTCACTCCAAACACTCCCAAATCAACTTTTGAAGCTTCTAACAAGTATGTGAATTCCAATCAATCTCACCATGTAATTCTTCCACTCATAAAACTCATTTTCTCACCACATAATCAAAGACACTATCAAGGTCTTTGTACAAGGTCTTAATCACTCAATCCTAAGAGTTAAGAACCTTCAAACTGATATAAGAGATCTATAAGGCCCAAATCAGAACCTCCATAAGTCAAAACACCAAATTAGATCATACAATCTCTAACATCAGCAAATACCATAAGATCTATTCCACACAAGAACAACAATCAGCAAATGACTTCTACTTGAATAGCACAACAAAGTGTGTGTGGGCCTATAACCTATTGAAAAAACACAATAAGCAAGACACAAGTAAGTAAAAATCAGCAAGATTAGACACAAGAGAAGTGTGGAATGAAATACCTCTCACTTCCAACATCCTTTACTTATAGGTAGAGATTACATCCATTTTATCTGGTATTCATCTTACTTTCATTCAACTAAACCCTAGATTCCTCTTAATCTAGTCGCCACCTATAATCCTAGCTGCCACCTTGGTCACTTTCCTTCATCCTTTTGCTATCCTTTGACTATTAGTAACTTATCTAAGATAATATCTTTTACCTTCTAACTTATCCTCTATTTAACACATGAGAGTGAAGAGATTACTTGCCTTACCTGATACACATCCAATGCATCAGGGAAGATGTTAACGACTATACAAGTACTTACATAATCCAAGTCTACACTCTCCGGGAAACTAGCCCTAATACCTACACCCTCTGCTTATCAGGCAGAGAACACCTTGAAAGAATTTGGAACTGAATCCAAGAGTGACAAAGTTGTAGCTGTTGCCAAATCTCGCCTTTGAATTCTATCTTTGAACACACTGCATCTCATTGTTTATAATTCCCAGCTGCAAACTAGGCTAAGCGCGTTTCGATCATTTCGGGGCTACAGTTGTTTGATTTAGCAATGTTTTGGTAGTTGAATTCTGCTTTGATCTGCTCTAATGCTGAAACCATTGCTCTCTAGCTTTGCTGTGTTGATTGGTTTGCGTTGCGGCTAATAATTGACGCCATCATCTAGCTTGCACACGTCGTAGGGTTCGATCAAGTGATTGCCAGACTACTTGTGATCCTTCTACGAATCCACACAATTGTTTCGTCCATTGAAACCTCGACTCCATGCGGTCCCTCTGCTTTTTCCTCCGCCGCACTGCTACACAAAGAAGAGCCTTCAGTGATTTTGCTGCACATTCTCCACCTCCTCTTCCCGTGCTCATTGTTGGAGCGGGACCGGTCGGCCTCACCCTCTCCATCTTGCTTTCTCAATATGGTTAGCAAATCCTAAACCCCATTTCTTTCATCTGCCTTTCCCCTCATCTGTTGAGCTTCTTCTTTCGCCATGACTCCAATCTATTTGGCTCGAAAATTTTGTATAATGAAATGCCCAATTCAGGTGTGCCTTCCCTGCTCGTGGACAAGCGGAAACGATTGCCGGAGCATCCGCAGGCTCACTTCCTCAACAATCGAACTATGGAGGTATCCATTGTCATAATTTGTCTGCATTGAGCAACCTACGACGGACGGTTAGAGAAATTGAAGTGTTCGAATGGTGGAATGATGGAATGATGAAATGATGTCGAGTACAAAGAGTCACGGTAGTCTTGTTTTGTTATGATAAAGCAAACATTTGGGCTTCATGCAGATATTTAGGAAGATGGAAGGGCTGACGGCAGAGATAGAGACTAAACAGCCCCCTGTAGACCAATGGCGCAGGTTTGTGTACTGCACCACCCTTGCAGGCCCCGTGCTCGGCACTGTGGACCATTTGCGACCGGAGGGTAAAGCATTTATCATCTCTTCTATTTCTTCCATATTGCAGTTCCTTTCATGTCCGTCCCAGAATACCTTACATTAAAATTAACATTTACTGTAAGTTTCGGAGCTACTCGCAAGCTGAAGAACTCTTGAATTGCTTGACTTCAAAATAATCAGAGACCAGAAGACTTAGTTCTACAGCGTTATCGCTATGCACATGTTTCTCGTTTCGTTCATTTTTGTAAATTGTGCAAATTAGGGCTGTTTTTTTTAGGAACGCATCTTGACATTGTGGTTTAACAGATCTAACATCTAAACGTAGTCCAACAGCAGTTGCCCATTTTTCTCAACACCACCTCCTGCCTCTCTTGTATGCGAAAGCGCAACGGCTTGGCCAGACCGTGCATAAGAACTATGATTTCTCAAGCCAGTGGGCATCTATTACTCCAGAGCCTGCACCTATTCTGATGGGTTACGAATGTGTCTCGATCATGAGCAACTCCAAAGGGGTTAATGCTAGAATTTCTGCTTCTCAGGTGCTCTGACGGTCTGAGGGTTTGGATCATTTTTCTTTGTATACACTCCCTGCAGTATCAAGATTGTTTCATAGAAACCCATTTGGCATTCTCGCGCTATGCATGATTAAACCAGGTGGATACGTTGTAGTTTACTTCTTTTTATTTAACTTTTTATGTTTTTGTAACAGGGAGTCACTAGGCAGGTAGTCGATTTGGCCTGCCAATACGTAGTGGCAGCCGATGGAGCAGGTAGTCCTATCAGGAAGATGATCGGTATTACTATGGAAGGAGAGGCAGAGATGCAGAAGCTTATCAGTGTTCACTTTTTCAGCAAAGAACTTGGCCAGCTGCTATTATCGACTCCTGAGCCGGGAATGTTATACTTCGTATTCAATCCTAAAGTTATTGCAGTTGTTGTCGCTCATAATCTTGAGGCTGGTGAATTTGTAGCTCAGGTATCCGCCTCTCAACTCAAGCAGTCACTTTCGAGTTGTTATGTTCAGGATCTTTTATATTCCATGTTATGCTTTCTGTGTACATCGCTCTTTATTCCGGTGTTGCCATTCCTGGATCAAGGCGGTCCTGAAGCCATTGATCTACTCATTGAATCTAATGAGACTATTTTGCAGATACCATTTTATCCACCTCAGCAACGTCTTGAAGATTTCACAAGTGAGGTGACTTTAGCATCACTCTTGTCCTTACTGAGTTCGTTTCTCTTTCTACGTGCATCTTAAGCATCGTGTGAAAGTTAATGCAAGAAACCTGATACTTCTTGGAGCATAGTAATTGTATTCTATCACAACCAAGGTGACTAAAGTAGTACATAAACGCAAGCGTTCTTTTTGTTTTCGTTTGTCTACAGGTCTGCCATGACATCATATTGGAGGTGGTTGGAAAGAGAGACTTGGCGGTTGAGGTCAAGACGGTGAAACAGTGGGTGATGCATGCCCAGGTTGCGGACCGATTTACGGACAAGCACAAGCGGGTTATTCTCGCTGGAGATGCTGTGCATCGCTTTCCTCCAGCAGGAGGATTCGGTAATTTATTATGTCTTGCCTCCTTGCTCTAATGCATTTCTCTTGATTCGTGTACGTGTTTCTATTTTGGTGACAATAATGGCATGCCAAAATGTGTCACTCTTGTAAATCTATTTGCATAGTAAAGAAGGGAATGTAGGATATATTCTTACTTCTAAGTTCATCCGGTATGTTCTCTTTGATTTCTTTATGCTAAGGCTTGAACATGTCTTACTCTGCTGACCAGGTCTCAACACTGGCGTACAAGATGCTCACAACCTAGCTTGGAAGCTCGGTGCTGTGATAAAGGGATATGCATCTGAAGCTCTGTTAGCTACCTATGAAGTAGAGCGTAAGCCGGTAATCTGAGCATTTTAGTGTGTTATTTGTTATGAATTTGAGTTGGTCGATTACAGCCGTTTCTTAAGCACGTCCTATCAAATAGTCGGGTTGAATATCCATTAAAAGGAAATTTTAGGGAGAAACTCTGGCTGGTCTTGTAAGGGTTGAGTTGGCTATGTGCAGATTGCAAAAGCCAACACGGCATTGAGTGTTGCGAATTTCAAAGCAGCTCTAGCAGTTCCAGCTGCACTTGGTCTTCATCCATCTGCTGCAAGGTCCCATTTCTCTTCTCTTTGATCTGAATGACTTAGATCCTGTTTGCACGTGACGATTTAGGAACAGAAAAGTGCTCCTTTATAGACATAACGCCCTGTTAATCCCTCATGAAATTCATGACTTTGTTGATAATTCTCGAACTATCTTCTATTGGTTCGGAAGCACTTCATTCCATCAAACTTGGTGATAAAGAGCAACTTGCCAAGTGGTCCCCTCAACTTGACATTGTAGGATTGTAGTTGCCTTAACCAAATTTTGTGACTCCGGGTGCAGAGTCGTTCATGAAGCTATTAACAGCCGTGTAGGCATGCTGCTTCCTAAAAAGTTACAGAGTGCAGTACTTGAGGGTATATTTGCAGTTGGACGAGCTCAAGTGTCATCAGCTTTTCTGAGTGACTTCAATCCTATTGCTGCTGTTCGGGTTTCGGAAATGCAAAGAATACTGAAGGAGGGTCACAGCCTTCAACTCCAATTCCCCGCAGAAGACCTTGGCTTCAGGTCCCCACTGCCTCCGCTTTCTCCTTGCAGCAACTAGATTGATATGCCAAATGCAACTTGATTATTGGTCTACATGTTGTTAGTTGCGCCAGAGGTGTTAGGATTGCTCGTTTGTATTGCAGTCCTCCATCTTGCATGAGGTTTGTGAACTAATAAATATGTGGCAACCACCTTGATTTCACTGAGAATGTACATGTTCTAAACTTGCAGGTATCGTGAAGGAGCTTTAATTCCAGAGGTAAAGCAATCCCCATCAAGGGAACGCGTTGCAGCTCCTATGGGTAGAAGGCTAGAATATTTGCCATCAACCCAACCTGGTGCTCGTTTGCCACATTTTCCAATCATTATCCACCAACACACGTTTCCATCTTCCTCGAATGTAAGGATCGAGCGGCCCTTGTGTGTGCAACTGCTCCTATTCATAACTTCTCGTTTTGTACAGATTCAAGTTCCCCTAATTTTAGCCATTTAGACACATGAACTTACACACATGCGTACAGTTCTGAATGCTTGTTGGATTGTTCGGGTGAGCTACTTATACTTGTGTAAGTGCTGATTAATTTAGAATAAATACATGCTCTTCTCCATCTTTTCTTACAGGCAACCTGCTCCACATTGGACCTGGTCAGCGAGAGCGAGATCGACCTTGTCCTCATCGTGGGATGCAATAACAGCGGCTGCACATGGACTGAAGCTGCTGTAACATCTGCCAAATCGCTATCTGTAAAAGTGAGAGTAGTCATCATGTGGCCACCAGGTCTTGAAACCAAGATGGGAGAATCCGAAGAACTTTCTGTTCAGAGGCGGGTCTCTGCATTCAAAGACAGAGTTGTTCATGCAGAACAAGCCGACCAAGGGTGGTGGGAGCTTTGTGGCGTTCCTGATGTGGGTGCAATCCTGGTTCGACCAGATGAACATGTGGCTTGGAGGTCACTAAACCTACCTGACCGCTCCTCTGCGGAGCATCTGCACAGGGCTTTCGCAGAAGTGTTCCCAGCTCTAGCTTCACCCACTTCAACCCAGCAATGTGCATGACTGTTAAGGAAGGACTCTACCCTTGTCCTCTTTTTTTCTCCTTGTCTTTTGCCTGTTTGCGTAGTTGGGTTTCATCAACAGGCACAAGTTTTAACAAAAACTTCTCAAATCATTCTCAAATGAGATGGAATTCATAGCTGGGACTGTACAAATACTAGATTTGATTCTGATGTACTTGTAATCACTATGAACAAGAATTTCTTTCTGAGCAGCTTGAGTTTTATGCATCTTTACTTGTTTGTAAATCAGACCTTGTATGTATGTATGTATGTATGTATACATACTAATTTTGTGCCTGTTGGAATTAGGCATGTAGAGATTATGTAGTAAAACATAAAAAGCATTAATGCTGTAAATGCTTTTCATGGCATCAAGTTTATTTGTTCCTATGTTAATACATAAAACATTTGCAGGTGTCTTTTCAAATTCTCAAAAATGATGGTTTCATAGGCATACTCTATTTTTTCCTTTTCACTAATGTTTAATGTTTAAGTTATATATATATATATATATATATATATCTATAAATAGGTACAAATTTGTGATGTTGAGTATGTTATTGTATGACCTGAAGTTTATTTTGGAAATACACAAAGCTTTTGGCAGTGGATGGAAAATTTGTATAATCTATATTAATTATATCTTATAATAAAAAAATCAGGTGTTTACTGACAGCTTCTTAAAACAACTTCAATCCATCTAGAAACTCCAAGTCTAAGCTATCCTAAATCCAAACAATCCCATATTCTATCTTCTATCAATTCTAATATCAATATCTTATCAATTTAAAAATCTACGCTTTGAAAAGCTAAGCAAATTCCAATATATGCTAAGAATATCCTAATCATGCTTTAAATTCTAATTAGTAAACTACAAAAAGCCATAGCTTTTCATTGGATTGTTGAATTGACTTCAAGTTTTGCAAAATGTTGTTTCTTTAAGTCATGTATGCTCACATAAAATTTCAAAATTAATATTTATTGAAATAAAACTTCTATTGATATTATTTGGCTTTTTACTTTCAATTTAAAAAATAATTTGATTAGTTATTATTCCAAAATAAGTAGTTAACTTTTGTTTCAACTTAATGTAAGGCTTTGTAGTCATATACTCTATTAATACATCAAATTTTTGCTTTATCTAAATCATAGACCTTTAAACAACTAAGAAATTGTACTTAATCTTAAATCATTTAGTTTTGGTTCCTATTTGTATACACAATTAGACATCTTCTAATTGCATTGTTAAAATGAGACAAAACTTGAAAATGACATATCTTACTTGCATATCAATACAATTATAACAATACAATCATAGATCAAATACAAAGTATTTGAAATGAATTTAAAATTTACAATAATCTTTGCTATCTTCAAAACTTTATTGCCTACAAAATTTTAACTTAAATTTTTTAAATTAATTTCTTCTTTCTAAATATAATAATAAATTCTTTTATTCTTAAAAAATTCTTAAAACAAATCCTTCAATAATATCTTCATCCCTTCAATCTTCCAAAAGAACCTTCATTTATTATAGGTTCTTCTTTTTTATACCTTATAGTCAAATTATGACCATATCTTGTAAATTTTGACTTTCTAAATGTCAATCTTATTATTTTTATTATAAACTTTGGCAAGTTTTTCTCCTTTATGTTGTCATGTATATAGTTACACTAATGTTTTATTTATTCTATCTTAGTTTGATCTGTTTATGGCCCTTCAAAGACAATAGAAGTATTTTTAATATAAAAATAGTATAAATCATAAATTTTGTAGCTAAAGTTAATACATGAACTTGTTAAAACTTTATTTATACTATCTTAAATTCAATAGTTGATCCTTAGTTTTAATGGATATTGTAAATAAAAAGCAACAATAAGTTCTGAAGTGTTTGCAAGATTTTCACATAGCTCCTTGAACACCTTGATTCTCACACCTTGAAAATCATAAAATATCCTTTCTATGTTTCTTCAAAGGAATTATCCTTGATATTCACTTACTTCTATATTTTTTTTTATAGCAAGTTTTTATTTTTTTTTATTTTTTATTTTTTATTTTTTATAATAGTTTATTTCCTTCTTATTTCCTTTTAATCTAAAATTCCTCTAGAATATACCTTTATAATAAAATAATATCTTTATTTTATTAATTCACTAATAAATAAAATTTCTAAAGTTAATATTACTCCTTCCTTCCACCTAATTAATTGTTAAGTTCTAATATGTATTTTGTGTTTTTTGAATATATTAGAATTTGTCATTTTTTTCTATTATCTTTTGTAAATAGTAAATTTCTTCATCTTTGGCTTCTAAATTTTCATTTAATGAATTTTTTTTCATATTCTAAAGGTCGTTTTTCCTTCCAAAATTGTATATCATTAGTTTTAATAAAACTTGAGTCATCCTCATGTATTTAATTTGCATTGAGCTTATTGTACTTGTGATAGCTTAAATCGTCCTCTTGAATTTTGCTTGACTTATTTTAATATGTTGTCTTATCTTCCAAGTTGTTATGTAGCATATTTTCATAATTTCTTTTGATATTAGTTGCATTGCATGCTCATTTAAGAGGCTCGTTATTTCCAATCTATTTTTTAAGTTCGAATTAAAAGCTAAACAGTGGTTAGCTTAAGAGGGTGGCCATCATTCGGTGGCCATCCGTGTCCACCCCCGCTATCAGCGGAAATCCGGGGCGGCAATGCCGGAGGAATGTCATTTAAAATCGTTCTGTTAGTCGCGTTATTGGATTTCTGTGGTGTCGAGGTCAGTGCGATGGTGGTGTTGCTCTCAAGGTCGGGTACTGTCGAGTAGGGCTTTGGTTTGATGGTCATGGTCTTCGCGGTATTGAGCTACACTCGGTTTGTCAAGTGCATCGCCTTGTTCACTGCTACTTCAAAACGGGATTCGAGAATGGTGTTTTGCGGAATGGGATACGTGGGCCTGTTTTGTTGTTATTACTCGTTGATGCACTGTTTCGGAGTAGTGTTGTGTTGCACAAAGATCAACTTCCGATCCTGATTTGACGTCCCATCCTGTAGTTCGTCGTGGTTGATGATCTCGTGTAATTGTTGACTGTTGGGTTGATAGTACCTTGCAGCGCGGTTGATTGTCGAGCGGGTATGCGCTCTCATGTGCTTGTGTAGTTGACAGAAGCTCGCGGTGCAGTTGAGTGCTGAATATAATTGAGGACCTAGCGGCGCAGTTGAGTACCTGTGCTTGTGTGGTTGGAATCCAGTTGACAAAGAACACCGACTGGGTCAATGGAGGAAGAATCTGCGGGAAAACAAATTTGACATCCTCAAACGTGGAGAATCAATCTGGTTGTTCTGAATTTTCTAAAATTCCAGTTGTATCCATTGGAGGCAATCTATAATGCACTTCAGTGTCTGAGTTTTGTACACCAAATTGCTGCCTTTCCTGTTGTATTGAATGTTCCCTTCAACTGTGATTTTCAAGTGCCAAATCATAGATGTTTGTTTCCTTGTTCTGCACAATGACTCAAAGTCGCATATGGTCATGAAACGTTTTTTTTGCACGAATTGTTGAGTGTTGCCCGTTTGGTTTCAATGACCATGGCTCCCTTGGCCTCTTTGATCGAGGCCCCTTTAAGGGCATCCATCAATGCCCCTCCAGGATCGTCGGTCGATGCCCAACCGGGGTCATCGATCAAGACCCTATTGGAATCTTTGATTGATGCTCAACTGAGGTCACCAATCAAGATCCTATTGGAGTCCAATCAATGCCCAACCGAGGTCAAGACCCTATTCGGTTGTTCGATCAATGTCCAACCGAGGTCATTAATCAAAATCATATTGGGGTCTTTGATCGATGCCCGGCTAGGATCGTCGCAGTGTCCAGCATAAAAACTTTTGCCTTCAGACTGTCTACATGATCAAATAACCATTGAACTTGTTTGGTTGTAAAACCATCATCTTCTCTTGAACTATCTAAAGTATTCATCATACCATTTTTCTATTGTTTTAATGTTTGAAGTGTTAATAATTTACTTAAATTTTTCTTCCTTTTTGCAGTTGCAAAGTATTACCCATATACTTCATTTGCTTGATTTTCCCATTCAATTGATATTGTAAATATAAGAATATCATCTCTATTTCTTGAAAAACTTGATTGTTTGTCCAAATTTTCATTGTTCTATTTAGAAATCTTTCAAACCTCCTCTCTTTTACAACTTAGAATTTTTCTTCCCTCAACATCATTTATCTTTTTCTACTTAATTCTTCATTGGTCTTTGATGTGTTTCAATTTTTTTCTTTAAAATTGTCAAATCTACATCCTTATTTCTATTATTCTCTATTGTTGATACTTTTCTTATACTAGAAGCTATAGTATCTTCTCTTCCTTCATTCGATAGGATAAATTCCTAATTGTTGCTACCATGCCTAGGTTCATTAGAAATTGTTTAGTAATTTCCTATTATCATTGACTTTTGACCTGAAGTTCAAAAGTTTCTTCTCTTCTTTGTAACATTATGTGTCTTCATTTCTTCACTCTATAGTGTCTTCTTCTTATGGATTTTTGTATACATTGTAGCAATTATAGTGTCAAATATCTTCTTTCTTTCCACTACATGTTCTTGCTCCTTATTGGTAACAACACCTTTTCTCTTCTATACATATGTTTTCTTAGGCGTAGTAGTTAAAACCTTTTTGTATGTTGGCATTGTTATTGATGGGCATTATATTTTTTTTAATCAATTTCTTCATTTTCTGCATTTCAAACTCTTATTTATATTAACAGCAACAACTACAAGAATAAAAAGACCTTCTTTTTGCTCTCTTTTATTCATATCTTTCTTTTTCAGTTCATTTTTTCTTATCTCTTTATTCATTTGAATCCTTCAAATTTGTGCAATTAACAAACTAATATACACTCAAACCACTGTTTGAACAATATTTTGATGAGTTTTTTTGTTGCTTTGCCCAAATCCTTTGTAACTCCATCTTTGTGTTATCTTTAAAAATACTGGACCAATCCACTTGTTCACCATTTAAAGCACTTTGCATTTATTCTATTAAAGCTGTAAGTGCATCAGTAGTCGCCTTTGAAAGTATAATGTGGTACATAGAAAATGAATAACATGTCTAATTACTTCAAACTTGTAAGTAGATATGTTTAAAGTAGTAGCCTTACAACTACCTTTTTCCATAGAAGGATAAAGTATAATTTTATATTTAACATGAATTTAACTATTGTACATTCTTTAAGAATAA